TCGAAAATGAAACCGCGGCAAAGCTACCTCCGGGGAAGGGGTCGGGGACTCTGAGGCCGCAGATTGGAAAAATCAGATCGGATAATGTTAGGGTGAAGGCTCCCTTGAGCCCGATTCAAGGGCCAATGAGCAGCACTAGGCTGGGTTGGACCCGGGATTGAACCCGATTGAGCAGGGTCTAAGCCAGACTATGTGGGATGAACACGGACTATAAGCGGGATGCGCAAGGATTTTATCAATTTTCGACCAGGGAAAAACCAGCGCCGATTAAGACATTGACCTCCAAGGATTTGCATCCTAGCCTCCTGTGGGCGAGGGGGTCGCTTTACGTCTGTGGGTTCAATACACAATCTTGGCCGGGTTCTACATGCCGAACCAGTCTCACCACACACGCTATCGGCAAAGGAGCTAAGCTTGTTTGGCTTCTTCGTGGGCTTCTTTGAAACGAGCTGTACATTCCATTTCTACACAGACTTCACTGGCTCGGTTGCCTCTGGGTTATCCTCGTTACTTCCTGTGTGAAGGAGCTGGACAGCAAGATCAGTATCAGTCGCACTGGTTCGACCACTCCCATGAGCGTCAGGTGCCTGCACAAAGCACGGACCAATGACACGCACGGCTTGAGGACGACGCGCGTCATCGATACTGGTATTCGTCTTCCCTCCAGCATGAAAACCGGTGATGATGAGCTCGGAGCAAGGATGATTGTTGGAGGGTTCGGGAGGATCACCATCCCCTTGCGAGCGCTCGCGGGATGGACCGCGCCAGCACCATGCGTCGGGAATAGGCGGCTCGTAAGCCCCAACAACTTAGGGAACACGCAGTCCACCAGCGTGGCCGCACTTACGCTCGACATTGTACGACACAGGCTGCGCTCCCAAAAGCTGGTGCCCGACACGCTCGCCGCGGGCGTCGTCGACACTGGACCCCTGTCAGAACTATGCCCCGTCCCATAGAGCCCTGGCACGGCCTACGAGCGTCCTGGTCGACTTCACACCTCCCACGGATATCTTTTCTCATCCCGTGCGATCGGCCTACGCCGTCACAGGTGGACCACGGCGACAGCGGCGAACGTCGAGAGCGAACGCGACGATGACTGAGCGTGAGCATCACGATCTGTTCGAAACTGGTCCCTGAACCTCTCCCAGGATTGGTCCTGCCACGCTTTCCAAGTCGCGCCCAATCATGGCGACGAGAACCTCCAGAAGCGCCAGAGCGTCTCCAGAACGACGTCAACGACGAGCGCCTTCGACGATGGGCGCCGACACCGACTCCGACAGCCGCGCCTCCAAAAGGGAGGGGCCACCGCGGCGCTGCCATCTGCCCGTCTTCACGCGGAGCGGCGCTCCGCGCTCGGGATACAGGCGTGGACAAACACACCCCGCCCCAGAATCCACATCGAACGCCCCACCACTGACGCGTGTACGTGTACGCCGCCACCACGGTCGCGCGAGCGCGAATGACCCCGCAGCCCCTCGGCTCCCACTCGCTGTCTTCTCGCAGCCCGCTCTGCCCTCGCCGACTCGTGCGAGCGGCGCGTCCACGACCAAAGAGTGACCTCGCTCGGACGCGGGCGGGCAGACTCTCGCCCGCGCGCTGCTGAGAGCCGCGTGCGCCCCAGGGCGGGGAGCGGAGCCCGGGGAAGGGCGGAGGGAGGAGGCAGCCCGGCGCGCAGCTCGGGGCAGAAGAGGCCTCCCGGCTGGGGGCCGAGCAGGCGGGCTCGGGCGAAGGCGCCGCACCGCCGACGCATCGCCGACGCACTGGCGATGCAGCGTCGCTGCATCGGCGAACGTCGGCGATGCATCGGCGACGTCGAAGTGGAGAGCAGCCGTCTCCACATCGGACCACGTCGCCGATGCGTCGGCGATGCTGCGCGATCGACCCCACGCCAACTGCTCGGACCCCACTTTTGGGGGCCTGGGAGAACTGCACAGGCAAGATCAGTCAGCATCGAGCCGAGAACTAGCTCGCAACGAACTGTGCGTCGGATCGGGCTGCGCCGGCACGGAGTCGAAACCAAATCGGACCGCCTGCGCGCCAGGATGGACAACAGCACCATGCCCAAGCCCCTGCGAAAGGGGCGTTGGTACACGGGCCAGTAGCTCAGGGTGCGCTTTAAATTGTGTTTCACCCACAAAGACTTGCAGCGCACAAGTGCGAGGTAAACCCCCCCGCCCAGAGTTATGCTGATGTGTCCACGTTTTTGCCACCCCGATGTATCACGCCCTTGTGCGCTTGAAGAGGCCCCCTACCTTAACCGCCCCGTGTACCGACGCCCCCTTTGCAGGGGCTTGGCATGCAAGCATCGGCGCTGGATCCGAGGCTGGCCAGCATCGCACTCCCCGATGGGCACTGGCAGGAGGAGGAGGAGGAGGAGGAGGAGGAGGAGGAGGCTCCTCCTGGATCGATATCGAATCGGCCCTATCGCATTCCCAGAGGGGCACTGGCAGGCGGGGCCGCCTCGCCGGCGGCGCCCGCGCCCCGCGGCGCGGCGCCCAGCGGCGCCGCGGCTGCGGCCTTGGCCCGCGGCTGGATCGTCAGGGCCGCCGCGGCGGGCCGCACCTCGGGCGCCGCCGCGCGGCGCGCCGGCCTCGGGCGCCTCCGCCTCCCGCTGCGCCCGCCGCGCCGCCGCGGGCGGCTCTTCGAGCGCGGCCTCGAAGGCGGCGGCGGCCTCGAAGGCGGCGGCGGCCTCGATGGCGGCGGCGGCCTCGCGCGCGGCGGCGGCCTCCTGCTGCTGCCGCCGCGCGGCGGCCGGCGGCTCCTGCTGTGACTGGGGCTGCGGCTGCCGCCGCGGGTGCTGCCCCAGCGGCTCCGCGAGGCAGAGCTGTTCCAGCCGCCTGACCTCGGCCCGCTGGAGGGTGAGCGCCTGATGCTTCACGACGCTCTGGGCACAGACCTGCTCTTCTCCAGGGGCCGCACGGTGCACGTGAGCTCTGAAGCTGATCATGTCACCGGGCTCGAGCATGAGATTCGTTGACCTCCTGTGGACGTAGACGTCCTTGCCGTGCTGCGCCGTGACCTCGGGGCACGCCACCATGCCGACACCCGTGGAGGAGTCCCAGGTCAGCACCTCTCCCATCACGCGGCCCTCCAGCAGCAGCTGCTGCTGTCGCTGCTGCATCGCCTGCAGCCTTTCCCGCTGCGCCAGCAACTCCGCTCTCGAGATGCCACTGCGCAGCGGTGGCGCCTCGCGGGAGAGAGTGGTGGGAACGTGACAGAAAAGGAGGCACATGACGGGGGAGTGGATGACGACGAAGATCAAAAACACAAACTGCCGATGCAAGCGCAGGCCGCCTCAGACGGGGCTGGGGCTGAAGCCGTCTGAGCATGCGCTGTTCCACGCAAGACTCCGAGACCGGAGGAGATAGAGCGCGCATCTTGATTGCAGACCGCAGACGGCTAGGACAACGCGCCTGCATATTGCGATCCACTCTGAACGCACCCCAAGCGCTGTGGGAAATCAAACTGAGCATGCATGCGGGCAAGGAGGCGGATGACAAAGCATAAGATGAGCATAAGGAAAGCGACGACGAAATGTGGACCTACTACGCCACCTGCTCGAAACTGTTAGCGTTTTCCGACCGACCTTGCCCCTCTCGGGCCGCCCCTGGGGGGTCCCTCCTTTGCACGGCTGGATACGTCGGAAAGACCAAGACAGAGCACGGCACTTGAAACGCCTAGGGCCGATTCTGGAGGAAGGGAGAGACGGAAGAGAAGGACGAGGAGGAGAGGAGGAGGAGGAGGAGGAGGAGGAGGAGGAGGAGGAGGAGGAGGAGGAGGAGGAGGAGAGGAGGAGGAGAGGGGGTTGAACAAAAGAAAAGATGATCAGGCTGAGATGTCTAAAACGACTGGCTATGCGGGGGCGGTCGTGCAAGAGCGACGTGCTGTTTGTCGACTGAACCGAACGAGAAAGCAGAAAGCGGCGTCAACCGAATCAGCAAAGCATCCGGTGCCACTCCTCATTCCCCTCCCCCTCGCTTCAAGCCCCTCATCTCGGGCACCCGAGCACTCCAGGATAGACCTGAGTGATGCTGGGGAGACTGAAAGGTACCGATACCGCCGCTCCCTGGAGGTGCGTTCAGACCAGGATTTCGAGGCGAATTCAGCGGTGGCGACGAGGGACTCCCGGGAGGCCCCAAAAAAGGAAAACGGGGGAGGGGTAGAGGTATGGGTACCTTTTCCTCCTCTGAGGTGCCCCCAAGATGGATCCTAAAAAACCTTGGGGCCCATGGGCCCTGGAGGACTCCTCTATGGATCTTTTTGGCGCAGAGAACGGTCCAGGAGAACTCGGGCGCTGGGTGCCTTCCGGGGGAGCTCCTTGGCTTGAATCGGGCATGTCCATCTATAGAAGGAATACTCGGAAATACTTAAAAAGTGGTATGGGGACGTCTTTTTAAAATACTTCGGTTATGTCTGGTTATTCTTGAATGTTTTTTGCATATTTTGAATTGAACTTTTTCGTCCAAAACCCGCCTGTAGGAGGACACGCCCGACCGTATCCTTGGCGCGAACGCAGGAGGCAAGAATCTCAGGAAATTGCCCCCGACCCGCCCCCCCCTGCGTCGTGCATGCTTACCCTGTGAGCGGCCACCAACAGGAGGCGACGCCAGAACGAAGGTAACATCGGGTGAGGATACATCGAAAAACTCTGAGATCCGGCGGCTCTGGAGGATGTGTCGGGCGCCGCGGTCTTCTCAGAGCGTTCCGGAACGCTCTGAGAGCGTTCCGTAACGCTCTGGAGCGGATTCATCCTCATCCCAGCCCCGCCGGATGAAAAAATGGGCGGGAAAAATTCCAATATGCACGGTCTCGTAACAGCCTGTCGTTCGCTGGGTCTGCCGTCTCACCCTGGAGATGTCCCCTCGAGCTGGGTGGTGACAGCGGGCGGTGTTTGGAACAAGGCGTAGGTCGGGCGTGTTCTCCTGCAGGCGGATTTTGAAGGACAAATTCGAAACATGTTCAAAACAAATGCTCAAAAATACCTGACAAATCTTCCTCATACTCGTTCTCTAAATTATTTCTGAATGCTCCTCCTGTAGAGGGACATGCCCGATTTAAAGCAAGGCCTGCCTGCCTCCGCCACGTCGGGGAGGGCGACATGCGGGCTGTCTTTTTCCCCCAGCGCCACGGAGAGATGGCCGCCGGGGAATACCCATGTCGTCAAATTCCTTTGCTCGAGCACCCGTGTCCCAAAAATAAAAGGCAAAACATCCCCCGCAGAATTACCACCCCGACAAGCGAAGCCGTTTGGTAAACGCACCTAAAGAAGGAATCGAACTGGGCAGGGCTGTTTCATAAACGCCCAGGGCCATTTAGCAAACGCAAAGTATCGGATCCGGGTGGTTTTCCTCCCTTGACACCAGGCCGTTCCCGACGACAGTGAAAACGGGAAGGCGCAAATTCGAAACGTGGCCCGTTTTTGCACCACAGGGCAGATTTGGCACGACACGCCTGCAGGCTGTTTGAGTCGAACTCGCCGAGGGGCACGTTTACGAGGAACGTCGTCCCGTACAAAATGGGCCTTGTCCAACCTGGAAGGAACTCGCGTGGCGAACGTTGGTGCCAGAAGCTGACGCGTCTCCGTCCTTGACGAGCTCTTCAAGAAAAAACATGCGCGAGCAGCGATCGAACGAAATTGTCAATGTTAGCAATTCGCATCGAAAGCGATTTCTGGTAATAGTGTTCACGCGCTGAGGCCGAATGACATGGCAGTGGAATCGGAGGTGATGTTCTGGCCGACTACCACGGCTGCGTCTTGACAGTTGAGCTGGTAGAAGTGTCGCGTAGATATAAGGGAGGTTTACTCCAAACAACTGCTTAACCATCGCCCGAACTGTTTCAAGGCCCCTGAACTTGGGAGCTCATCGGGAGAACACCCCCTGCGCACATCTATTTGAGAAAGGCTATCGCGCATCGCGTCGAGGAGGTACAGTCCGATTTCGGAAACAGCGTCTTCTGAGAACGCTAGGAGGAAATACATGGGCGGGGGTGGGGGTTCGAAATCTTCCCCTTCACGGTGGCTAGACGGTCGGCTTGACACGGTAGGGATGCCAAAGTGGCTGCGTCCTGCTCGCCCTGTCGCTCACTCAGAGCCGCTGCAAACTGCTCAACCGCACTGACTGCAATCCGTGGACACTGGTAGAGCGGTCGCCGGCAATCTCAAACATCGCATCCCGCGCCCAGGTAGTAAGGGTGGCGCAGGCCCTCCCACAGACCACCCATGCCCCCCCGAGTTGAACTTCCCCGCGAAAGCACCGCACGCTTTGGAACACACAACTCCCCGATTTACCTGCGCAAGATCAAAGGCGATGGTGACTGGCCACAGACATGTGAAGGACAAACCATCGTGGGACCGCTCGTATAGATGGGGGTAACAGATGTCCGGAAGTCTAAAAAGAAAGGACGTCATTCCGACTCGGCGCGAGGAATTGGCAGAACTGCCCTTGCTTAGCGGCAAGCAAGACACCGTGACCGCCCCCTCCTCTCCGTCCTCCTCTTCCTCCCCCTCCTGCCCCCTCCCCCTCCGCCCCACCACTGCTCCTCCTCCTTGTCCTTCTCCCCCCCTCACACTCCTTCTCTTCCTCTTCCTTCTCCGTCTCCTCCTCTCCCTCCGCCTCCTCCTCCTCCTCCTCCTCCTCCTCTTCCTCCTCCTTCTCTTCCCCCTCCCCCTCCCTATCCTTCTTCGTCTTCCTGCTGCTCCTCCTCCTCCTCCTCCCTCCTCCTCCTCCTCCTCCTCCTCCTCCTCCTCCTCCTCCTCCTCCTCCTCTTCCTCCTTCTCTTCTCCTCCTCTCCTCCTCTCTCCTCCCTCCTCCTCTTCCTCCTCCTCCTCCTCTCCTCCTCCTCCTCCCTCCTCCTCACCCTCCTCCTCCTCCTCCCCGTACCCCCCGTCCTGCTCCTCCTCCTCCTCCTCCTCCTCCGCCTCCTCCTCCTCCCCCTGCCCCCCGTCCTGCTCTTCTGCCTCCTTGTCTCACCAGCGCCTGGCGCCCGAGTGGCCCCGCCAATGCCGGCGGCCCCGCCGGCAGAGGCGACTGCTCGAGTGGTGGCGGCTGCGCCGCTGGAGACGGCCGCGGCGCCTCCGCCGCGAGCTCGGCCCCGGGCGCGGCCGCCTCCGCCGGGCCCTCGCCCTCGGCCGCGGCCTCGGCTTGCTCCGCTTGCGGCGACGCTGCAGGCGCGGGCGCCGGAGAGGGCGGCGGCGAAGCAGGCGGCACGGCCGCCTCCGCTGGGAGCTCGGCCTCGGCCTCGGCCTCGGGCCCCTCCGCCGGCGGCGACGCTGCAGGCGGGAGCGGCGGAGAGGGCGGCGGCGAGACAGGCGGCACGGCCGCTTCCGCCGAGCGGCCGCCCTCTGGCGCGGCCTCCGCCCCGCGTGCCCGCTCCGCGGGCGGCGGCCGCGCCGGCGCAGCGGGCCGCGCGGGCCGCGGCGGCAGAGAGCGGCGCGGCTGCTGCAGCCGGCCGCTCCAGCTGGCCCTCGGCGCGGGCGCGTCTGGCTGCTCCAGCTGGTCCAGCAGGCTGGTGCCCGTGGGCACAGGCCGCCTCGGCGGGCAGGGTGCTTCTGCCCGGGTGCAGCCCCCCGCAGTGGCGGGGGAGGAAAAAAGGGGGGCGGGCGCGGTGGGGGTCGCGGCTCTGTCGCGGGTGAGTCGCCGAGAGGGTCGCGGGCCACCCGCGCATCCCCCGCGCCCCGTGGGCCACGGGATCCCACTTCAGCCACGCACCCAAGGACAATGGATGACTGTTCGCCCTCCTCATTTGGGCTCTTTGGAGGACGGATGCCTATCCATATCCAGTGCGCCTCGGGGTCTGGGGAAGGGAGCCCGAAGCTCTAAGATTATGGTTGCAACTCATGCGAGCTTCCAGTACCATCATGTTGTCTTTTGCGAACCGACGCAGATCGAGGCTGGCTGATCGACGCTCATCGGCGCTCTCCCATCGATGCCAAGACGCTCATAGACGTCAAAGCGCTGTAAAGACGGAGAGGCGAGGCTATATACCCAGACCCCCAGCGTCATGAATGTGTCGTAACATCGACCCCCAGAGGTCTTGCCCCCTGCCCCGGGACTTGCTTTTCATCCTTAGTCTTAGGTCGGACATGTCCTCTCACAGGCGGATTGTGGAGGAACCATGAAAAATACTCAAAACAGATTCCGAACATGTCATAAAACATAATCGACAAATCGTCCCCCGACCCTTTTGGTCATGTGTCTTGCTGTTTGGCTGATTCCTCCTGTAGAGGAACGTGCCCGACTTACCCTGAGTCGTTTTTGACAGTCCCCGGGCGGAGAGAGAACCCCTGGAGACCGAAACTATAATTTCGGTACCCGATGGTGGCCTAGGAACAGGGCGCCCATGATTTGCTACGGACATGGAATGGCTGTCGCCGCGCCGTTTGTTCCCGAAGCGCCAAAAAAGAAGACGCCGACACCACGGCAAACCCCCGGCAAACCCTGCGCCCTGCGCCCAGGTAGACGACGCCGGCACCGCGGCAAGCCCACGGAGAACCCACCGCGTCCGAGGTGCCGTATGCCCTGGTGTAAGACGAAGCCAGGACGCAGATAAATCTGGGTAAGGATCTTTGAGGGCCCCGGAAACGGCAGGGCCGTTTTTTCACCGTTTCCCCCAAAAATGTCCCTTCATAATGGAAACGGCAACAACAACGGCGACCGGAAACGGCAACAAAAACGGCTCCAGGGTTGGAACCGGACCCGGAACCGGTCAAAACACGGCGACCGAACGGGTCAAAAAACGGCGTCGGAACCGGCAACAAAAACGGCAAACCGGAACCGGTAACAAAAACGGCCCTTTCGTTTCCAGGGCCCACTAAGGTAAGGATACATCCGGAATCTCTGAGACCCGGCGGCTCTGGAGGATGCTCAGAGCGTCCCGGAAGGCTCAGAGCGTCCCCGAACGCCCTGGAGCGGATGAATCCTCGTCCTGGCCCCGTTCGAACTGCGGACACGGACTCTGAGAGCTCCGCCTGAGAAGATCGAAGAACGCCTCGACCCACGGCTGCGGCCTCCTCTCGGCTGCACGCAAGAGTGACAATGGGTTAAGAGTGACCTCTGGCGCGCGGCTCTTTGGGGGCCACGGGGGGGGCAAACTCAATCGCGCAAGACGCTACTACCGCGTCGCGCTCGCCAATCGGGGGGCCCGAATGAGCACACACACACACACTACACCGAAGGCTCACTCTTACGTGTAGTCGATGGTGGCCGCGGCACCCTCCTGAAGACGGAAATGTAGGCCTCATAGAAGCGGTTCTAGTAGATCTGGTCGGAAGATCGTGCTGTATCCGCGACGCATCGGCGATGCATCGTCGACGTCGGAACGCACTGGCAACATCGACGTGAAACGCATCGGGCTTGCACATCGAGCCGCATCGGCGATGCATCGGCGATGCGGCGCGATCCTCCGACCCCATATACTCGGACCCCATCTAGGAGGCCTAGATACGTCAGGTTCGTGTCGTGCCGACTTCGGCGTTGGTTTCTGACACCGCGGGGATTTCTCACCCTTGAACGAGCGGCCGGTTCCGAAGAAACGTCCACATCGATCTACGCCGAACGATTCTGGGTAGCCCGCTGCGTTCAACGTTGAACGCCGGCGGCGGGGTCTGATGGGCTTGTTTTCTACCACCACCACCACCATAAGTTGGAGGGGGAGGGGGTCCTCCTCCACCTCCTCCACCTCCTCCTCCTCCTCCTGCTCCTCCTGCTCCTCCTCATCCTGCTCCTCCTGCTCCTCCTCCTCGTCCTCCCCCTCCTCCTCCGTCCAGCTTGTGGCGGCAGTGGTGGCAAACAGGCCCATCAGGGTCGCCGCTGGTCGACTCGGCACGAATCTGCCGCAGACTCACGCAGTCGCTGCCCGCCGCCTCTGAAGCGGCCCTGGGACACACAAGTAAATACACACAAATGACAGGATTCCCCATGTTTTCTTATATTTTCTGGGTTTTTGTCTTCCCCCCCACACTTCCCATATTTTCCCATGTTTTCGGGGAAATCGACGATTGACTGTGTCTGTGTGTTTTTGTCCCTCCTGAGCCTCCCCGCGCCCCCCGCGAGCGGCGCCGCCCGTGCCGCCGCCGGCCCCGGCTCGCCCAGGACCTCGCCGGCGACCTGGGCGAGGTGGCGTCTCCTCGGGGGCGCAGGCAGGCAGAGGCCTGCAGGGGCTGCACCTCAGTGTGTTTTTAATGCTGGTCTCCTGGCTGTTGCTGTTGCTGTTGTTGCTGTTGTTGTTGTTGTTGTTGTTGGTGTTGTTGTTTGGGAAATTCGCGTTATTCGACACTCGAGCAGATAAGGGCGAACAGTCTTAAAATGAGTGTTGTTGTTGCTGTTGTTGTCGTTAATGTGTAGTTGACTGTTGCTGTTCGGTCTTCCTCATTGTGCTCGGTGTCTTGTTGTTCTTCGGTTCCGTTTTGTCGTTGTTTGTTCTCGTGCAGAGGCCTCCAGGGGCTGAGCCGAAATGGTGTTGCTTGTTGGGTTCGTTTTGCTTGTGCTGGGGGGGCGAAGAGCGGTCCAAGAGAAGCTGTTCCGCCTTGGGGGGCGCCCGCCCCCCGGGCGGCAGACTTTAGACTGCTCCAGCCCCACTTCGGGGCGTAACCTTTGCAGCCGCCCGGGGGGCTGGCGTCCACCACGGCGGCAACAGTCAGTTCATACCATTCTTCGACCCCGAATTGTGGTTCTTCCTCCGTGGTGCCTGCGCTCCGCCCTGAGTGCAGGCCAGAACGAACACCAAACCGACCCACGAGAGTTGGCCAAACCACCGTTTGGATCCAGCCCGGGAGGCCTCCTCCATGGGGCCGAGTGGATGGGGTCGAAGGATCGGGCCGCATCGCCGATGCGTTGCCGATGCGTCGGCAATGCATCGGTGTTGCATCGGCGACGTCGGCGATGCATCGCCGATGCGTCGGCGTGGAGAAATCGGGCTCCACATCAAGCCGCATCGCCGATGTATCGGCGATGCGGCGCGATCCTCCGACCCTATCCTTGCGGACCCTATCTGGGAAGCCAAGAGAAGAACACACGGTAAATTCGCTCGGCATCGGCGTGCGTAACTGCTTGTGACACCGCGTCGATCCGTCAACATTGAACCGATCGCGGCCCCGATCGTTCAAGGTTGGTTCCAGTGGGGTCCAGTGACGTTGTCGTGACATTCGGTGCTTCCGCGTCGCAGAATTCAATCTTGAACGCCTTCGCTGGCGTTGCCGCTGCGCCAACGCCGCATGAACCTACAGTACTGGCATCGGGGAATTACCAGAATCGGCGGCGAGACCAGGGGAACTGACAAAAAGAAGGCCTTCTGCGAAGCCGGCGGGGCTTCTCAGAAAACCTCGCGCCTTCTGAGAAAGTCGTTGCGTCCTCGGGCAAGACGTAGGCCACTTCGCAAAAGCCTGGGGACTTTCCGAGCATTCTGAGCAGGCGTCCTCCTCACTTCCCCCCCTCGCTCGCCGCGCCGAGCGTCGGGAAATTGTCAGAAGAGCTGCTGAACAGAAGCAGCGCTAGATAAGGAACGACTCCTCCTTCTGGCGCCAGCAGCGCCTGCGTGCAGGAGGAGATTGGGGAGGAGGAGGAGGAGGATGAGGAGGAGGAGGAGGAGGCGGAGGAGGAGGAGGAGGGGGGAGGAGGGGGGGGGAGGAGGGGGGAGAGGAGGAGGAGGAGGAGGAGGAGGAGGAGGAGGAGGAGGAGGAGGAGGAGGAGGAGGAGGAGGAGGAGGAGGAAGACACCACAGATTGGCATCAGCAGCAGCGAGCCCCTCCCGAGCCCCGAAAAGGTCATTATTTCGGCGTCTTGATTGCATTACCCAGACCCCTGTCCATGCTTCTCGTGCCGCCCACGGCGGATAAGGTTGTTTTCCACTGCGGTGCCAAAGCCGCTCTATCGGCATTGCGGCCGACGTCTGGCAAAGCGAGATTACTTCGCGCACGAATCAATGCACTTGGCGCGCGCGTTGTAACAAAACTGACAGACAAATGGGGCCGAACAGAAATAACGAGCCTGAATTCCGAACGATTGCCGCACAAACGGAGAACGGATAGAATGAGCAAGCAGGCTAATGCAACAGAGGCAGATCATCAGCCTGCGCGGCAACCTTCCAGGGGAAAGCCACCGAGATGGACGCCTCCTGACTTGCCCGAGCTCAAACCCCAGCCGATCGCCCCCCAATTGTTTGGATATCACTTGTTTGGACCCACGGAAACTGAAAACGGGACCCCCAAACAATAACACTCCTGGCCCTCACGGGCCTGTGAACGCTCACGCGTCGAGACACATCGCGCCCTGGTGGCCGCAGGAACCCTCTGGCAAGAACAACGGAACGAACAATGCGCAAAGTGCTATCCCAGAATTCGTTCCACGTCGCCCGACATTCCCGCAAGCGCACACAAGCGCAGCCGTCTCTGTTCCGCGCGCCCCGGCAGAATGTTGAGCCCCGACCCCCAGCAGACAGACACTTCGTTTGGCATGCGGCTCCGTTTGAGCCCAGGGCGCACGCGCGCCTCCCAAAAGACGGTGCGAGACCTGCCAGATGTCCCCCCACGGACAGGGGTCGGGACAAGTAGATCGTTGCAGATACTAGTGCTGTGCGCCCCCCCTCGGAGGCGTGCGTCCGAATCGAACATATAGTGCAAGCGTGTTCTAGCATGGCCAGAGAGCGCCCGCCACCGAACACACGCTGTAAGACTTGGGGCGACGCACGCACACACACACACACAGCCACAGCGTATGTTTGTATGTTTGGGTGAAGCCGGTCCTCCTCTCCAGGCCGAAGCGCGACAGCGCGGGCCCCCTAGGCCCGGGCGTGGCCTCTCGCTTGGCCTGGGCGAGCCACGCCTCGAGGCGGGCGCAGAGGTCGGCAACCTCCGCCAGCCTCTTGGGGGCGATGTGGGCGAACCGGTCCCCGGGCGTCTGGGCAACGCTGCGGTAGCCTTCCACCGTGGCCTCGAAGTCCTCGATGCATTTCTCGCGCGCCTCCAGGAGCCTCCGCGCCGCTGCGTCCCCGGCTTTCTTCAGCTCCTCAAGCTTGTCCGTGTACTCGGCCCTGGTCGCGTCGGGGTGGTCGCTCAGCCAGACCTCCGCCTGCGACAGCACGCTCGCAAGCTTCTCCATGTCCGTCTTGGAGAGGAAGTCGCCGTACTCTCCACCCTCGGTGACCTTGTTTGTCTCCAGGTCCGTCATCGGTGCGCCCCAAGGGCCAAAGATTTCGAAAAACCAAACATGCCCGCCAGAGACCAAATGGCAACCCAGAACGAGACTTACTTGGCGCCATCAGTCATGGTGGGCGTCTTCATATTCGGCGTCTCGACATTGGGCGGAAGGGGAGGAGAGGGGGTCTGGCTGCGGACCTCTGCTTAGCGCGGCTGTTTGTAACCGTGCTGCCTTTGTGGGAGACTCCACCCGCTCGAAACAGGCGCCGAAAAACACCCAAGATCTACTCCACGGGGGGGCGAGGGGGGGGGCCGCGTCGATCGGCAAATCAATACATTGAAAAACGATCACATGGTGTCCCCCTGGAGGGTGTCTCTGGACGCGACGAACCCATTCGCCCGAGCTGGGTCCAAAGGAGGTCTGGGCCCGCCTCGTGCTCCAGAGCAGGCCAGAGACCGACCCAGCCAGGGGACGCGGATCGAGCCGAGGTGGCGGCGTCGGGTGGCGGTGTCCGAGCCCGACTCTCCACCAGACACATCGGTCTTCCTGCACCGACGGGTGGCGAGGGCCCACGTCCCCAGGGCCTCTGGCGGCCCCTGGGGGCGATCCGGGCACCCCCAGAACGCTCTCGGCGAGGCGCAGGCGCGGGAGAGCGCCCCGAGGCTGGAAAACCGCCGGAAACCAACGAGAACAGCGCCGAAATTTACCGATATAGGGGAACAAACAATGACATGAACATGAGAAGGACCGAATGTCCGGAAGGATTTCTCGGACCGGCGCTGGACCCCCACGGCGCGCGGAGCGCGCCACGGGCGCCCCGCCAGGGGGTCCCAGCACCGATCCGAGGAATCCAGGCGGACCTCCGAAGTTTTATGTTTATGACCGTGCGTGTCCCCCCACGAACACCAGCGACGATCCTCCCTCTGCCCGAGGCAGCCTCGGCGCGTGGCTGACGAATGCCAGCGTCCCCTCGTGGCCTGGCGGGGCCGCCCCCGGGCACCCCTGGCGGGGCGTGTCCTGGCGATGCCTGCGAAGAGAGCCCGCGGAGGCCATGAGGCGCCTGCGTCGGCGGAGAGGCCCCCAGCTGGGGGGGTGGATAAAAAGGGGCCCAGGGGCCCACGCGTAAATCCAGACTAGTCCGAGGGTCCCTTGTATTGGTTTGCGGGTCTTCGTCTTCCCCACCAGATCCCATATGTTCCGGCAGTCGTGTTCACGCGAGTCGACGCCTCATTGTGCCTGTGCGTTCTCCGGGAGCGTCAAACAACGACGCAAGATGAAACACCAGTCCTGGGGCATGGAAGGAGGCGTAGGAGGAGGAGGAGGAGGAGGAGGAGGAGGAGGAGGAGGAGGAGGAGGAGGAGGCGGAGGAGGAGGAGGAGGAGGAGGCAAAGCGTGGAGAATGGAGCAAGCTCCCTCGCGCGGAGCGAACGGCACTGCACATAGGCCTGCAGGAGCCCGCGCGTCGGCCGCTCCGCGCCCCGCGCAAGCCTCCGCAGAGGCAGCGCCCGGCTGGAGAAGGCCACCTGACCGCTGGCCGCACAACGGCCCGCGGCAGGCGAACAGGAACAAAATGCCCAAACTCAGCCCTCGCACGGCTCCTCCTTGAGCAGCGTGTCGAGGACTGCCCCCCGCATCTCGACGGGAATGCCGTGCAGCCCCTTCCGCGCCGCGCTTTGGAGCTTCAGCATGGCGCCTGTCAAAGCCCCAACCGAGAGGGCGCAACCCCACTTCTGTGCGAGGGCCTTCTCCTTCGTCTTGGCAGACTTCCGAGTCCGCATGCGCTGCTGAACCTTGAAGCTCTCCTCCGACGGCTCCTGCAAGTACGTGAATTCGTGCCCGCCGTCGCCGTCGCCGGCGACAGCCTCGTACGATTTCTGGGTCGCCATCGCGAACTCCAGATGGGCCTCCATCTCCTCCTCGACGCAGGTCTCGCGACCCAAAACTGCGGCGCCCCCAGTTCTTCCATCTTAAACGACCTGGCGCCTACACGCCGCAAAGGAATTGTCGAACAAGTACTCGTCCTTCTCCGATTCGCCACGCCCGCATGCGTCACCACCGCAAACGTCGGGCGCAGCAGGGCCGAACTCACCAGGCTCAGCGAGGGCGAGGAGTCCACCTCTTCTTTTGGCCGTAGGCGTTCCATCCTTTCTTGTCGCTTAGGATCGAAATCGGACGCGATCCCTTCGAACCCGACCGCTCCTGCCTGGAGGCCCATGGCGCCGTCGGAATCCTCTAATCCTTTTTTCCTTGATACCCATGCCGCACCCGATCTCCATCAGGTCCCGACGGATGGACTCCGACTGTGCACGATGGGCCGCGGACTGTGCCGAGGACGTCTCCATCACCTGCTCGGCCTGCATCTCGTTCGTCGCCTTGGCGGCCCGCTTGGCCTTCAGGACTGCTGCGGCGACCGCCGCGGCTGCCACGCGGGTCCTGGAGGCCCGCACCGTCGCCGCGTCCGCCAGCGTCTTCTTTTCTATCTCGCGGTAAACCTCGCGGAAGACCTTCGCCTCCAGCTTCAAGGCCTCCGCAAAACGCTGCCACTGCTTCTAGGCACCTGCGGCTGGCACCTGCGACTGCTTGCGAGAAACCTCGCTTCGCTCCAGCAGCCCGGTGGCGCCTCCAAGCCCTGCTCCTCGTGGGCGTTTCAGGGCAGGCCCACCACAGCCCCGCATAAGGTCACCCTGGCCTGGATAGCGGCAGCCCTCTCCTCCGCCTCCAGCTTGACGGCCTTGACATGAGATCCTTCATCTTCCACTTTTGGATGTCCCCGCCCAGCTGGACACGATCGATACGCAGGGACTCCCGCTCCTCCGTCAGCAAGCAACTGCGCTCCCAATGCTCCTTCATTACCTCCAGGGTCCCGGCCGGCACCTGCACGTACTGGTGGCGCGTCTCCGGCACCGTGCTCTCCACCACGTTCCGCCTCTCCACGGCCGCCCACGGCTTGGTCTCCCAGTCCGCCATCCTGTCCGCCGGGTCGAAGTGCGGCGCCTAGAGCTCCGTTGGGCAGAGCTCGGCCTGGGGGGCCTCTGCCGATCCAGCGCCAGACGTCTTCCTCGGAGTTGTCTCCGGTCTAGAATGCATCGGCGGCCTGCGCGGTACTCGTCGGCCTGCCAGACTCCGTCGACGACATGGACCGCGATGTCACCCTCGTACCCCCTCTCGAACAGCGTGAACCTCGCGCCCAGCTCCTGCGACAGCCGTGTACACTGGCACCAGCACCTGCATGCCATCGCTGCCCGCGGCTCGGGGCGACTTGCGCCCCTGTCAAGTGCGCCGCCCTCAAGGGCCCCCCTCGGGCCCGACAGGGGCTAGGAGGAGGAGGAGGAGGAGGCGGAAGAGGAGGCGGAGGAGGCGGAGGAGGAGGAGGAGGAGGAGGAGGAGGAGGAGGAGGAGGAGAAGGAGGAAAAAGAGGAGGAGGAGGAGGGAGGGCACGTGTTGACAGAAATCACGGCATCAGATGCCTGAGTTCTCGGAAGGACGGGAGTCTGCTGAGGAGCCCCGCCGACTGAGAAGCCCCGCCGCCTTCTGCCCTCGGCGCGCCGCTGACTCCATCAAATTCTTCACTGCACGGTCCTGGGCGCCCACTAGGCGATCCCGCGCTGATAGATCGGGATTCGATTGTAGGCGTGCCAGTTCTGAGGGTGTTTGTTTGCCCTCCACTCCAAAGAGGCCCCAGATGTGCAGCACCCGCAGGAGAAACCCGAATTCCCGAATTCTAGAATCCCGTCTTCGAGTCCTCGATTCCCTGATCTGGGGGCTGCTAAAAGTGCCTCTGGCCCATGGTGCCCCAAGCTTTCCGCATGGTTTCTGGAGCCCTCTGGGGACCTCTAGGCCTCGTGGGGGGTGCTCTGGAGGCCGTGGGGGCCTCCTTGGAAATCCGAGGGGCACCTTGGGCCAGGGGGCAGTTCTAGCAACACCCGGTCGATCGATGGAGGAAGGGGAGTGGAAGGAGGAAGAGGAGGAGGCGGAGTAGGAGGAGGCAGAGGAGGCAGAGGAGGAGGAGGAGGAGCAGGAGGAGGAGCAGGAGGAGGAGGAGGAGGAGCAAGAGCAAAGGCGGGAGGAGGAGGCGGAAGGGGGGGAACAGGGAGAGGTGGGGGAGAAGGAGGAGGAGGAGGAGGAGGAGGAGGAGGAGAGAGGAAGAGGAAGAAGAGGCGGAGGCGGAGGAGGGGAGGAGGAAGGAGGAGGAGGAGGAGGAGGAGGAGGAGGAGGAGGAGGAAAGGAGGAGGAGGAGGGGGAGGAGGAGGAGGAGGAGGAGGAGGAGGAGGAGGAGGAGGAAGAGGAGGAGCAGGAGCAGGAGGAGGAGGAGGAGGAGAACAAGCTAGGTGTGCTAGCGGCACATCTGACGTCCTACCTCTCGCTCCCGTCCCTTACATGGCGTAGACATTCTATCGATTCGCACAATAGGATGCCGTGCAGGGCAATGATCACAAAAGGGTACGCGATGGATGGAACATCATGCCGTAGAAGAGCACAGCAGAGCCAATAATGTCATGGAAAGTCGCGGCATTGCGTAGTGAAGGATTACAACACCAGCATAGCGGGAACACGATCTGGAACATCTCGAGGCGCGGGAACGAAGCCAACGAAGCAGCTGGAAAACGATGTTGAATGGCCGAAGCGCGGAAATGAGGGCGGCGCTGCAGCGGGAACACCATTTCAGATGAACAGGAAACGACTCAAACACATAATGAAGTCCTATGTGAACGCAATGCGGGGAGAGAACGGGACACTCTCCAGACAGAGTCAGGGGAGAGAGGAGAGTAGTATTCATAGCGTGTGACTGTGGAGGAGGAGGAGGAGGAGGAGGAGGAGGAGGAGGAGGAAGAAGAGGAGGATGAGGAGAACGAACGCACGAACGACTCTGCAGAGGCGTGTCAGCTTTTTTGCGGCCTCTCGGGGCAATTGAAATCACCAGCAGAAGCTTTCAAGGGCTGGCTCGCTTCTAGGGGGCGCTGTCATGTGAAGATGCTCATCACGCGTGGCACTCAGTGCACTTGTGCTCCCGCCCACCCCCTACCTCGGCCGAAAGCCCGTGCTTTACAGGCTGGGCATGGCCGTAGGATTACGGGCAGAGAGGGTGGAAAACGAACGGCGTCGGGGAAAGCCCTAAACGAGTTGAAGCCCCCCGACACACGTAAAAGATAGAGTTTGAAGCCAACGAGACTCGGGAAGTCAACGGCCCTCGGGCCAACACAAAAAGTGAAACCGAGAATCACCTGAAAGGTCTCTTGAGCCCCAGGAGGAGGAGGAGGAGGAGGAGGAAGAGGAGGAGGAGGAGGAGGAGGAAGGGGGAGGAAGAGGAGGAGGAGGAGGAGGGGGAGGAGGAGGAGGAGGAGGAGGAGGAGGAGGAGGAGGAGGAGGAGGAGGAGGAGGAGGAGGAGGAGGAGGAGGAGGAGGAGAAGGAGGATCTTCGAACGAGGCCCCAGAGCCTCCACCGAGCTTCCCGAGCCGCCGCGCCCTCCCTGGACAAAAGCCCTCCCTGGACAAAAGCCCCCCCGCCCCATCGGAGGCCACCGAGCCCCCGACCCTGCCGCGGAGCTGGGCCACGCAGGCGCCGAAGGCCTGGCGCTTCTCCAGGCGCCACGCGCGCTCCGCGACGCCCCCCCACCGGTCCACTGGCGCGTCTGCCTGCGCCTCTGGGGCGCGGTGGGGCGAGACGCGGACGAGGGAGGTCGCAGACGAAGGGGGGGAGGAGGTTGAGGAGGGGGGGAGGAGGTTGAGGAGGGGGAGGAGGAGGCGGAGGAGGAGGAGGACGAGGACGAGGGACGAGGAGGACGAGTAGGACGAGGAGGAGGGAAGGAGGAGGAGGAGGAGGAGGAAGAGGAGGAGGAGGAGGAGGAGGAGGAGGAGGAGGAGGGGAGAGGAGGAGGAGGAAGGAGAGGAGGAGGAGGAGGAGGAGGAGGAGGAGGAGGAGGAGGGCGGGGAGGAGGAGGAGGAGGAACGAGGAGGAGGAGGAGGAGGAGGAGGAGGAGGAGGAAAGAGGAGGAGGAAGGGAGGAGGAGGAGGAGGCGGATAGGGAGGAGGAGGAGGAGGGAGGAGGAGGAGGAGGAGGAGGAGGAGGAGGAGGAGGAGGAGGAGAGGAGGAGGAGGAGGAGGAGGAGGAGGAGGAGAGGAGGAGGAGGCGGGGGAGGGGAGGAGGAGGTAGGAGGAGGAGGAGGAGGAGGAGAGGAGGAGAGGAGGAGGAGGAGGAGGAGGAGGAGGAGGAGGAGGAGAAGGAGGAGGAGGGAGGAGGAGAGGAGGAGGAGGAGAGGAGGAGAGGAGGAGGAACAGGAGGAGAGGGACGAGGACGAGGAGAACGATAGTAGGACGAGGAGAGAGAAGGAGAAGGAGGAGGGGACGAGGAGGAAGAGGAGGAGGAGGTGGAGGAGGGGGAGTAGGAAGAGGAGGAGGAGGAGGAGGAGGGAGGAGGAATAAGAGGACGAGGGAGGAAGACGAGGAGAACGATGAGATGAGGAGGAGGAGGAGGAGGAGACGGAAGAGGAGGAAAGGAGGAGGTGATTGAGGAGGAGGACGAGGACGAGGAGAAACGAGTAGGACGAGGAGAAGGAGGACGAAGAGGAGGAGGAGGAGGGGAGGAGGAGGAGAGGAGGAGGAGGAGGAGCGGAGGAGGATGGGATGAGGAGGAGGAGGAGGAGGGAGGAGGAGGAGGAGGAAAAGGAGGAGGGGGAGGGGGAGGAGGAGGAGGAGGAGGAGGAGACTGACAGACTGACTAGCTCATGGAATCCCTCTTCAGCTTAGCCTCGACGCAACAAACAATGTCAGCAAAGCTTGGATTCTGAGGGGCGAAACCTTAATCCCGCCGTTTTTTTAAAGTGAGAGCCGTGCACACGCCGTGGCCTTGGCACCCACATCAAGGAGGAAGGAGACCAACACGGTGGAGCCACCAGGGCCAGGACCACCATGCTAGCCCCCCCACCCCCCCCGATCAGGCAACCGCTGCCTGACGCACCGCCCCGTGAGGAGGCAAACCCCCGCCCAGAGGCATTCGGCCTCGAGGGGGGCCTCCGAGGGGGCTGAGACCTACCTTCCCCACTGGGGCCCCTACCGCGCCCACGAGGCGCCTGTCGAGGGAGAGTTAACGTCGGAACAGAAAAAGGACGGGGAGGGGGTCTCGGCGGGACATGGCCAGCAGCCTGTAAAGCCTTAGATCTCTCGCTCTGAAGCCAGCCGGATCCCGTCGGACTCACAAAATTAGTCTCAGACGCGGGCGTCACTGACTCGGAAGCCGAGTCCCTCACTGAAAAGATGCTCTGGCCAGGCCCACGATACCCAGCATCTCCACGGTTGTCGACCTGACTCCCCGATGTAGATGAACGTGGGCCCGCCGTCGAAGAAGCACTCACATATCGTTGATCATCCTGGAGGGGGCTGCGCCTGGCTTGTGGATCGCCTTCATGTCCGCCATCGCCTCGGCCAGCAACGTCGACAGCTTCGGGCCGTTCATGCGAGAGAGCTCCACCGCATGCATGATCATCCCCTTGTCGGTACCCTTCGCGTCCTCCTGCATGTCGTCGCTGCTGCTCTTGCCCTTGCCCTTGTTCGGCTTGCCCTTGTGCGGCTTCCAACGGAAGTAGGTGCCAGGGCCGCCGCCTGCTGGGGAGTGAAGCGCATGATCACGTCCTTCCACAGGCTCGCAAAGCCCTCGGTCAGCTCCTGCTTGGCGAGGTTGCCTTGCGTGCCCCACCACTTCACCGACGCTGCAAAAATCGCCACGTGCGGCGGACCCCTGCTCTCGTAGTCGACCTGCTCTCCGTTTTTGGCCTTCTCGCGCAGGGCGTTTGACTGCGCGTCGTGCGCCTTGCCCGTCGCCTCTTGCTGCTCGGACAGGCCGCCTTTCTTCGTTTCGAACTTTTTGAACGCGACGGCGGCCAACTCTTGGATCTCGCGGGGATCAGCCAACACGAGGCGCCGCATCGTCTTCGCTGTCTCCCTTAAGCCCCTGGTGCCGCCGCTGCCCCTGTCGTCGTCGCTGCGCCCTTTCCTGTGCGGGGGAGCGCCGTTCGTCTCTGCCGTCGGGAGCGCCAGCCAAGACGGGGTGCCCTCCAGGGCCATGCTGCTGCTGACGCCGACGGGCCGACTGGGGGCGAGGTCGCTGCGGTAGCACCGTGCGTGGCAGATCTTGAACCAGATGGCTACAGAGATGATCCGGATCGGCGTGTTCGACCCCGCAAACTCTGCAAGCGAGGCTACCCGGAGGAACCAGGGGGTGAAACTTCCGAGCCCCATCAGGTCGACAAAATCCCCGCACCAGCGAGCGAGCAAGATGACGTCCAGCCACCACTCGAGAGCTGAGAACCGCACGGCAAACCACACACACACATTAGTAGGAGACATAACGTGTCCAGCATTACGGACATGATGTTTAGCACGAAAATGATTAGGTAGATCACGTTTCGTACGGAAGACCATATCGCACCTACTACCGTCCTCCTCCACCCACTCACACTGCCATTCGCGTAGGACCTCAGGGACTGGTGGAGGAACCTCTTGTGGGGGCTGGTAGCCTGGCGGAGGAACTTGCGCTCGGACATGGGCCGAACGAATAACCGAGAAATCTATCTTGACGAAGTCGGGGGCAACCTCAGGGTCCACGAACCTGCAGGGGAACTCAGAGAGCTCTTCCATCACCGTGGCCTCCCCACCCAAGATCTCCCAAGCCTCCTGAAAATCTCCCTGGAATCGACGAGCCCATGGAGACGCGTGCATTGTCAGTCGATCAGCGACCGCAGGCCTGTAGCGGTCAAACTCCAGTGCCGGCACACGACCGAACAGTGCACACAGGAGCTGCTGATGACTACCAGGAAAACGCGCCATCTGCTGGCACCAGCTCAGGCGCCGCACGAGCAGCTCTTTCGCACTCGGCGCCAACTTCCAATACTGAAGCACCTGAGCATTCGACCAGGTCGTCGCATGTGCGCCCTCATGCGAAGTACCCCGTCCCTGCAGTGGCACACGACACAGACGAGCAAGATGAACGTCCAAATCCTTATACTGTTGGGGGGTCACCATCATCGCCCCCAGCCCACTTAATAACGCTTTCTGGACGAGCCCAATAAGGATAGTGCGAGTCCATCTCCAGGGGCACTTGAGGGACCAGAAACCTCCCATGGAGTAGAACCCTGACGACGCCGCCGCTTTACGACGAGCAACTTCTGGCCCCGCAGTCCCCGAGAGAGAGACATGGCGCCCCAGGTAACGCGTGGATTCATGCAACTCACCTCCAAGAGTGGGAACGGCGCGGTGGCGAAGCCAACGTTTGACCTTGATGCCTCCTACTCCCGAGACGTGAAACAGCGAAACCTGTTTGCTTCGGTTGGCCCCGGGTCCCACCTCCTTCCACTCCTCCTGCAGAATCTCATCCGACATACGCATCCACTTCAGAAACTCCGAGGTCCTCTGGGAACGAGCAGCCACCATGAAATTCCAAAATGTCATCTGCATATTTGAAGAGGCTCAGGTTGGCACGCATTTCCTTCCATTCTGCTATAAGAGCACGTGACGTAATGTGAGCCTCTCGATACTTCCAGGAAAAAATTGGCCTACTAAACGTGCCCCTGAACAGCGTGACCACGAAAGGGATCCCCATGGTGCCTCCTTCTCCTGGCTGGATCCACAGAGGGGGTCATTCAGATGTGGGCAAGCAGATGCGTGACTCATGATATCTTTGCTGCGCGGGCGGCACGGCCAGCTCGCTGGCGACGTGCAAGTCTACCGTAGCATCCAACTCAGAATGGAAGCCTGACGCGAACGCGTTGCTCATGTCCTTCAGGCTGGCCGAGAACGCGCGGCACGAATGCCGCAGGCGCCGCGCCACCACCTGACTGCCATCATCGCCCCCTCTTGTCGCCGATGTTTGATGAAGCCGTAGTCGCCCACGTCCGCTGGCACCTCCAGCACATCTGCGTAGAGGCACTTCCCGACGGGGTCGAGAACATGCACCACCCGCTTGCCCTTGACGCCTGGTGCGCCACTCTTCCGCAGCCCGACCGCGGTGCTGTGGTGCCAGTGGCTGGGGGTCCGTGAGGCTTGGCGTATCATACGAAAACCACCCAGCATCGCCTCCGCGAAGCACGCCATGTCAGGAATGCCTGCATCAGCCCCAACACCCCAGCGCCCCCGTACATATCGCTTATCAGGGTGGAAACAGAACTGCCACAGCTCCACTGGAGGGGGACGATCTGGCACTGCCCGACGTCGCCCTGCACGTCGCACCGCCCGCGAGACCCGCCTGATGTCCGCTCGAGCGCGCTCCCCCATCTCAACGGTCAGGTCAGGCAGCGCGTCCGTCGACCCGATCAGCTCTGGAGTTGCCACCTCCGTAGCCGACGTGCCACCATCCTTGCCTGCCTGACGCCAGGCCGTTAGCCACTCCTCCCGCGTAGGTTGAGCCACCCGTACTGCACGTCCATCCCGCTTCTTCGGCCCAAACCGACAGCGTCCTGCTTCCCGTGAAAGACGCATCGCCAACGCCAGTTTGCGGGATCTCCACGCAGTCTCAATCTCTTCTTCCATATAACGCGTCTTCGCTGCTCGTTCTTGCCGTCGCTGCTGATGTAGGCGGTGAGCCACCGCCCGCAACTGCTCCTGAATCTCCTCTAACCTCGCCATCGTCTCTGGTGTAGAAGTTAAGCCGCCCGCCGCTGCCGTCGTCATCCGCTGCGTTACCCCCGTCGGTCGGCACCCTCTGCCTCCCGATGGCCCAGCGGGCGGGGGAGGTGAGCAGTGCGTGCCGACGGGGGCCGTCGTATCTGTCGCCATCATAGCCAGTGCCTCTCGAAGTTCCGCTCGCTGACGGAGAAGGTCGCGTCGGAGTCCGGCGCCCCCTCGCTGCTGAGGCGGCCGTCCTGGTCGAAACATCTGCTGCCCCGCCTCAATCAGCACCCGATTCATGTAATCGAAGAACAGTCAGGTACACCACGCCGAAGCATCTCCGTCCACTGCGGGTCCTCCTGAGCCAGTCGATCTTCGACCAGCCGTAAGAAGTCGCGCTTCAAGTCGCCCTCGCCACGCAGCGCGTCCATGATCTGACCCCTGTCCCACTCCAACTTCGGGGCCCGCTGGATCTGCTCCGAGAAACGCGGGAAGTGGACCTGCAGCACGATCGGGATGTGATCCTGCGGCGGCGGGCCCCAGAAAGCCTGTAGTTGCGCTCCCAGTCCTCTGAGAGTGTGACACTGCTCAATAGCGTCCGCCATCCCGAAGGGGAAGAACACGTAGTCAATCATCGAGCTCCCGCCCTTGGTGCCGAAGTACGTAGGGCAAACTCCATATCTCGCATTCGCCGCCAACAAGTGGTGCTTCGCAGCCTGTGCACGAAAAGTTTCACCTGCTCCGTGCCGTCGTGCTTCTCGTGTCGCTGCCTCCTCTGCCACCACCCCGTCGTCGACGTACTGCCACTTAGCGGACTGACGACTGAGACCAATGCCGTCGTTCGCATCCGTGAACGCGATGGGGCAGCAGCGCACGGGCAGGCTGCTCAGCACCTCGTCCAAGCACTTGCCGAGAATGCGCGTCGCCTCCAGGTAGTGAGGCACCTCCGCTGTCCACCGCGGCAGGGGCGGAAAGTAAAGCACCACCAAGCAGAAATCCTGACAGCTGCGCTTCACTCTCACTGCCAGTGCCCGTCCTCCCGCCCCTTTCGGACTCGCCCACGCTCGAACCAGGTCGCCGAGTCGGTAAGCACGATGAAAAAATCACTGCGCAACCAGTACTACTATTGGTGTAATAGCCAGGACTGAATTCACTCTCGATGACCAACTGCCCTTGGGCTCGGCGCTGAAGGGGCTCTTCTGCATTTCGATCGCGCGCCTGCGTCCCCCCGCAACAAAACAAAGTCAAACGACCTGCGCGCCAGAACAATCTCCTCGAGCCGATCCCCACGAGCGCTCTGAGGGTTCCAGCCGAGCACCTTCGCACCTCCCAGCCACGGCTCGCACGCGCAGAGGCAGAGAGCGAGGAAGCCCCCAGTTGTGGCTGCTGCGAAAAAGGTCTGGCCTGCTGCCATCTGAATCGCTCGAGCAACCATGGCAGCTGGAGGAGGAGGAGGAGGAAGAGGAGGAGGACGAGGAGGACGAGGAGAACGAGGAGGATGAGGAGGATGAGGAGGACGAGGAGGAGGAGGAGGAGGAGGAGGAGGAGGAGGGGGAGGAGGAAGAGGAGGAGGAGCAGGAGCAGGAGGAGGAGGAGGAGGAGCAGGAGGAGGAGGAGGAGGAGGAGGAGGAGGGGGGGCCGAGGACCAGCGTGGCGGCGCGCAGACAGGGGAGCAGGGGGGAGGGGGAAAGTCCTTCCGAAGTAAGCTGCCTCTTAGGAGGCGCCGGCTCTCATTGCATCTACAGTGCAGACGGAAGCCCGCGCCTTCTAAGACGCCGCCTCCCTGTGAGAAGCCTCCCCCCCTCCCGCTACCCCCCCTCTGCACGTGGCTGCAAAGCGCGCTTCGCAATTTCATTTGCGGGAGCACCTCGACCTCCGGGGGCCCCGGAAGGAGGTCCCAGACCCCTGGAAGCCCATAGACCCTCGGCGGCCAAAGGCGGCCTCCTTCACGAGGCCTGCATGGTTCTCTTTCGTGCTCGGCAGAGTAGGCATCGCAACCGAACGAAGGATGTTCCAGTATCATGCCGCATGCCCGTGGTAAGCTCTAGCTTCTGGCCTTGATAAGATATGGGTACGGATCGAAATCCAAAGAAATCATTGGCATGCGCTGCCACCGACTCAGCGGCGGAAGAGAGCACCTGGGTTCCACGGGGAAAGGACATCCAGGGTCGCCAGGGTTCACAGGACTCCGCGGGGATCCGATTTCGAAAATCCCTGAAAAGGCCCAGCGGCATTTCAAACATTTCACACAAGGCCCCGCGAGAGCCCAAGCAGAACTCACGAAACGCCTCAACACGTCGCAAGTCAACTCAAACCTATAAACAGAAACACACATGCTCTCATCGTGCCGGAACGAAGGCCGATGTCGATATCTCGGGAAGGACAGTCTGCGACCCGCAATCGGGCGTCCAAGGCAACGTGGAACCAATCCCTTCGCAAACCAAGCATTCAATGATGAAATGTAGGAAGACATCAAGACATGTTCGGCAGACTCTCTTCTGCCCAATTTTCAACATGACGAGGGGTCAGACATCAAAGAGAAGCGCTGGCCACCCAGAGGTCTCGGCGTCATGGAAACTAGTTCTGTCCTAAGTAGAAGTCGAGAGCTTGGCGTCCCCGACGCCTGTGAGACAGCAACAACAGCTCTGAAACTGCTGGGGGGCCCTTGATCTTACTGGAGCCCCTCTTGGACCCAGACGCGCGGTTTGCATTGTCGGGCTCTCTAATGGCGCCCCAGACGGTTGGTGGCCCCTCACCAAGCCCCAGAGAGCCTAAAGCAGTTAGGTCGCGCAGCCATAACGGATTACAGAACCCAGAGACACCCGAGACACACCACATAATTGAGACATATCGCAAGGTACGTTGTATGGGTTGATACGCGCATAAAACCGCGAGGCTTCAGAGTTGCGCAGCGTTTCCTACTTGTCAGAAAACCAGACGCCAAGAGTCGGCCCCAAAGAAAAAGTACGACGCTGAAGCGGAAATCTCAGCTACACCATAAGATTGAACCATTGCCTGCATGTGCCTTCGGGAAACGCAAAATCACCACAAAGCATAGGTCTGTGATAGTGTCCTACTTCAAGACGGCCAAAATTAATATGCCTAAAGAGTGCTGCCAGTATTTTGAATGGTCGGCTACTTTCAAAGAGCGCCTAACTTAAGATTCCCTAAGCGTTCTGCAAGTATTTTGCGTGGTCGGCTACTCCAAAGAGCGCTTAATTTCAGATGCCCATAGCGTCCTGTCAGCATGTTGAATGGTCGGTTACTCCAAAGAGCGCTTAATTTCAGATGCCCGAAGAGTTCTCTCTGTAATTTGAATGGTCGGCTACTTCAAAGGGCTCTTAAGTTGAAATGCCCAAGGCGTTCTGCCAGCATTTTGAATGGCCAACTACTTCGAAGAGCGCGAAATTCAAGATGGCCAAAGCGCTCAGCCAATAGTTTGAATGGTCGGCTACCCCAAAGAACGTTTAATTTAAGATGCCAAAGCCGTTCTGCCAGTATTTTAACAGGGTCGGCCACTTCAAAGGGCGTCTAAGTGAAGATGCCCAAAGCGCTCTGCCAGTATGTTGGGTGGTCGGCGGCTTGAAAGATGGCCGAAGTTAAGATGCCCAAGGCGTTCCGCCAGTATTTTGAATGGTCGGCTACACCTGGTAGTGCTAATTGTAGTAATACCGTTGCTATAACTTATGCAGCTACGCTTGCATCCACACCTACACTAGCAACGTTTGCAACTAGTACGATCAGCATTGAATCGCCACTATGGCTGACAACCAGAAAAGTTTGGGAGTCGGTTCGGCGCTCCTTTATAGTGTTGCATTGATTTGCGCGTGGCTTTCATAGCAGGGCCATGGTATATAAATCCTGGCGGCAGCGAATTAGATTCGGTTCAGTCAACGTTCCATCGCATGAGAGCATGACGTTAAACATGATCACGATTGAAATCGGGTGCCGATTGCAACCGAACCAGAAACGCGTAATATATGCATCGGGGACGCTGCGCGTCGGATTCTCGCTTCAAGTCCACTGCATTTCGTCGCGCTAAAATTCTGCAAGCGTGAAATCATGAAGGCATGCAGTTTGTAAGATCCCTGCTGGAAGCAATCCCATGACATATTATGAAGCCCCCCGTGAAAAATCTCATGGGATCGCAAGGCCCATCGCGTAAGCAATAACTAGGGTGCGCATCGTTTCTAGCAGCAAAACCATTGTACAACTGCTAATTCCTGCCACATGCGTAGTGACTGGTTGATGCTTGGTTAAGGTTGGTTTATGTTTGGTTGGAGTGGTTTATGTTTGAAAGGTACTGGTTTATGTTTGGTTTACGTTTGGTTAAGGTGGTTTTTGTTTGAAAGGCGCTGGTTTATGTTTGGTTTATGTTTGGTTTATGTTTGATTGCCATGAAGCGTTGGTGCTCTTGTCGGCACTGCGACGCAACATTTCAGCCTTCTGGCGACGCAGCCGACGAGATGACGAAACGACACCCCTTTATGCGTTCAGGTACCCCGCGGGGGCCTGGCCAGGGGGTTCGCAGTCTACCAGGGCGTGGGCGGGGGCCGAGATGGCCCCGATCTGGGCGGCGCTGAAAGCGCAAGGTAGAAATTTGATTTTTATAGTTTTAATTAAATTACCGTTAAAATATTAACCCCCCCCAGACGTCGTGGGTCCAAATTAGAGAGCTCACCATGCGTCGTCAGTCAAACTAAATTACGAGGGCCCATGCTGCCAGTGAAACTGCAGCTCCTTACGGGGCCGAGAAACACCGACGCATGCGCCGAAATGAATGGGGCGACGCGGCATTCTCGCCAGTCGGCGCGAGCCCCCCCATGCGGCAACGATTCGCGCGAGGGGTGCGCCGATGCAAATGACAGGCCGCACGTTGCCACCGCCACTTGGGTGCGTTCGGGGGAACCCCAGTTGGGCCCGCAGAAACCGCGGGTACACCCGCGGGCGACCTGGGCCAATACATGGATCTGTGCCTCTGCGCATTCGGCCGACCTATAACCCGACCCCCCCGCTTC